TCCTGTCTGGTTCCATGGCCATCCTCCTAACCAGCCTCTTCGATCACCTGCCAGGCGTTGAGGTCGCCCTCTTGAGCGGCCTCTTTATTCCTCTGCCTGGCACTGGGGTCTCCCACCTGAGCAACCTCTCTTGTTCCCTGCCAAGTCTCTGGTCCACCACCAGAGTGGTCGCTCATCGTGGCCAGAGACTGTGACGCCTGCTACTTCATTCTTGGGGGTCACCCCTGAGTGGTGGTGCCCTGTATTTTGATTGTGGGCTCCCCGTGTGCTTGAGCTGTGTACATTTTCTGTTTTTGCCAGGTCTCTCGCCTTCGGTTTTGGTTTTTCTATTTTGTGTTTAGGACCGGTGGCTTTGGGTTTTGGTTTTCTGTTATCGAGTTATTCTGAGAGCCAAGCTACTTACCTGCAACTTACCTGTTCATCCTGCTCTCTGGTGTGAGTGCAATTTACACACTGAACTCCTCTGCTGAAGAGCTACTCATCTGCCTCTTACTTGATCATCCTGCTGCCTGAGACTCATCAACACAACCTGCTTTTCCTGAACTCCGATGTGGGTTTTTCTACCTGCTCCCCTGTTAACTCCACGCTGCTTGCCTGCCGTCGTCCCCAGCTTACGCTGCCAACTCACCTTCATCTCCAGTTTCTCGTGTCCTGCCTGCTTTGTCCCCAGTGTCACGCTACCTGCCTGCTTCATCCCCAGGATCCCACTGCCTGTCTCATGCCTGCCTGTCCAATCCAGAACCTGCTCAGCCTCAGTCCCGTCCAGTTCTCGCTCTGCCTCTGTCCCCTCACTCCGCCACTCTGTAATCTGTCTCTTATTTCCTTAATAAGTTCCTTTTGTGTTCCACTTTGTGTGTCTACCTATTGGGTCCACCCATACCAGTGACAGATGAGGCAAAGTGTAATTGATGTCAAAATTACAATCTGGTTTTGGGGCTATGATTGGAATTAGCTCTACCTGAGACAAAGTTATGATTGGGGTCTCACTGTATTTTACACGTTAGGCTATTGTAGCTTGATTGCAAGACATACAGTATGGTATCTATTCAGTACACAAGGGGTGCCCACACTTTTTCACCTTGCGAGCTACTTTTTAAATGACCATGTCAAAATGATCTACCTACACAAAAAATACTAAACATACAGTATATTTATTTATATATACTGAATGTGTGTATGTGTGCCACACTCACATTGTGGGGACTTGCCACATTGTGGGGACTTGGCAATCCTTGTGATGGAATTCAGGAAATCACTGAATTTTAGGGTAGCAACATGGTTTAAGGTGAGGGTCAGGGTTACGATTAGGCCAGTAGTGGTTATGGTTAAGGTTAGGATAGGTCTACAGGAAATGAATGTAAGTTAATGTAAAGTTGTAAAGTCCCCACAAGGAATGAAAATACAGTGTGTGTGTGTGTATATATTCAGAATAGTGATGATAGATTGGTAGATCAAGTAAATGCACTTTGAATATGACATCACGAAAAAAAAGTCTTCCTTCCATTCCACATGGAAGTGGTAAGTTTTCAGTTTCTTACTTGATTCAGCTCCCCCACTCATTTTATACCCTTTCTTTAGTAGAAATAAATTGGAAGGCTGACAAAGTAGTTAGCTCACTGGAGTTTTGCAGTAGCTCATGCGGTTGACGGCGTATGCTTGGTGACTTGTGTGTCAGAAAAGACAAGATCTCAGACTGGCTGCCCTGTATGTCAATCAAGTGGCAAATACCATAGGGAGGATGGCCTCCCTATGGCTAACAAAAATTTTTTGAATGGCATGCGATCTACCAACTGCCTTTGCGATTGACCGGTCGATTGGGATCGACGTATTGGGCACCCCTGCAGTACATGGTACCAAACAAGGATTTATAGTACAAAGCATGTAGTGCAAAATGTGATAATGGTTCTTTTCATGCTGAAAACTGTTTGAAAAGGGCCATATTAATGCTAGATAGGATACACAAATATAGAACATTTGGTCAGTATTCCAGTAAATAAATTCAACACCTTTCATTCAAGAGTTTACACACTACCCAGGGCATTGTGGGATATGCTCCAGCCCCGCTGCTACCTGAACAGAATAAGCAGCTATAGAACATAAACGAATGGGTGGATTTTACTACATATTTCATTCTGACCCATTTTTCAACACGAGTTGCATGTAATACTAGTGTTAAAGGTTGAACCTTCAATGGAGAATTCTCACAATTTTAATAATAAAATGCACTATGTATTGAAACCTGCATGATGTTTACATGTTTACAGTTTTGAGCAGGTGCTGGTGATACAACACAGTGTATGGACTGTTTTGCCACCTTTCACAGGGAGGTCAGCTACAAAGAAGCGACCTTGAGTCTTCTGATGCCTTCTGGCACAAAGGCCAGTCCACTGTCCTTCTGCTGCCACATCACCTGTTTTTGTGCTTGCCCTTCACCAACATCTCAGTAACCTTATTTCAGCTCTATTCTTGTCTCCACAAATATGTGCACCAAGGCAAAATTTATGCAAATGAAAAATTAATTGAGGCTTAAATAAGGATTTCATTTGTATTCATGAGCCTGACTTGAGTTTTTCAGGCTCTTGCCTCCACAGGTGGCTATGGTGTCACAATCACTGGTGAACTTTTGTTCCTTATGCATGCATTTATTTTCAAGGTCAGGTGTTTTACATTGCAGCAGATATTGAAAACTGGCTCTGGCTCTGTGCTCTTTGGCTGAAGTGGAACTTCTAATATGTCATGTGTCTGACTCAGGGAGCTGCAGCAAGTAAAACTCTTTGGAAGACTTTGAGAGACAAATATGCTATTTCATGCTTCCTTACTTGACTATAGCCAACTGAGTAACTGAGGAATTAAGAGCCCTTGCGTTTCTCTTCTGCTTAGACCTTCCCACTTGTTACATGAACCAAGCCAACTCTGTTGTTACCTCTGGGCATCCACTACCCTGGTTTTAACATGAACTTCAGTATTTGTGACATTAGTAGTTACTTTGCTACTACTTTGCTTTCCTTCCAAACTAACTTGTTGTCACTGGATACAAAATTGTAAGTGCCTCTCAAACATTAATTGCAGGGTGCTTAACTCCTCTGCTTTATCCTCTGTTAGCTCTCACCACTGGATAGTACTTCAGACTCTCACTTGACACCAACTAAGCACTGTAACCTAGCAACACTGATATAATGGCAGACTGTGATTAGGTGATTATAGTTTTTAGGATTTAGCACCAGACCTGTGGGAATCGGAGCAGTCTTTGCATGCTCCAGCCTCAAATGTACCTGAACACAAACTGCGAGTAAGGATTGTTGAGGTACATTATTTACAAGCACAAGTGGGCAAACACCCACTTTAACACTAAAAGAAGGACTGGACATAGAAATCACAGTAATAAAAATGCATTGCCAATATGCGGCTAATTTAAGAATATTCAGTGCTTTCTACTTTTTCATTGTAGCTGTTCATTTAAGCCTGTTTACTATAAGTGCAACAGTACAAAACAGCTTTATTTTATAGACCTACAAAGATGTCTTCTTTTATTGAATACATGAAGTCTTTCAAACCTTTAATTCTGGCATATACAGTACAGCAGAGTGTATTTGCGCTATTTTAACTGTCACTGAATTACGAGTATGTGACCAGCAAATATACCTCCTAAACAAATATCTCAATGTTAAAACACAATGTAAGGTTTCTGATGTCTGCTGCAACTTAATGAATGGGCTGGAGATAAAGCCACCAAAGATGTGTAATCTCTAGGTGCCCTGAAAAATATTATGTATACAGGAATTCCATAAAGAGTTAATATTTTAATTTATAGTGTCATCAGCTTCTTTGTTTCTTTCCGCCTACCCAGCTTTTCTTCTTTTTCTTTTTGTCTTCAGTATCCTTGCCTAGGCTGCCCATGCTGGAGTGACTGGCTGCACTGTTGATACTGGACATACTTTCCGATGAGTGCTGTCGCCTAATCCGCAGGTCTGGAATTGACAGACAAAACCATTTGTTAATGCAATGAAAACTGTGTTTGGAGTACCAAAACCTGTATGATGGCATAATTGTTTCTTCAATGTTCAGCTATGATGGGCTCATCTCAGCATGAATAAGCAGGTATGAGGAGGCTGGGCACTTGAAAAGGTTATTTCACAAAGTTGATTACACATCTGATTCAAGCTGTTTGCATGTCTATGCAAAGCTTTCCCAAACTGACCTATACAGCACAAATACTTCAAGTATCAGGGGTCCAATTCCCTCCAATCAAAACAAAACCCATCCATTCATGGAATCTCAAAACATGAGATAATTTGAGAGGTTTGGTCCTAGTGCCCTCAGCTAGTTCCTTCATTACCTTTGTGGAGATGGTCCGGGCCATTGAGAGCCACCTGGATTGCTGTCTGGGCATCAGTGTTCTGGGTCTTCAGCATCTCTATCGTTTCCCTCAACTCAGCCAACTCAGACTCCTGGAGAGAGAAAAAGAGAGAAGCTCTTTTTTTTTCTTTTGAAGGAAATGCAGTCTATTGTAGTCCAGAATGTATGACCAGACAAAACTAATTTTAAAAAGAATTAAAAAATATGCTTCATCATTCTTAAATTTGGCATAAATATGGAATTCAGTGTAAGGTGGAATGAGAGACAAAAAGTGAAGGAGGGCAATTTGAAGATGACAGAAGCCTCAGAGTGGATTTGCCCAAAAGCCAGCACCACCTGCTTAGACTTAAAAAAACAAAGCTCTCCTCTCTGTTGAACCAACGCAATCAGGTAGAATATCTCCGATTCTGCCGTTTGTGAAAACCCAGTGAGGGCTGCAGATAGGGTTTCTGCTTTAATTAAAAGTTGGGATGGCCTTGTTTGACAAAGACATCCCATCCGTTCCCAGACTGCTTTAATTTATAGAGGACTAAAAAGCTGCTGGGGCTCGTCAGCGCTCTGTGTGGGTGTGTGGACAGGGGTCGGTATATACTGTATCTTTGAACATATCACTGCCACAGTGTGATCAGTGTTTCAGTACCATTCAAGCTCTTCTGAAATCTCCTCTTGGTAAAAAAGTCAACTTGTAAGAAAACAAAAAAGCAGAGCTCAGTATAGATAAGTCCTGGAGGTAGATGCTGGTTTTAAGGGCAGTAGGCTCATGGAATATGCTGAAGCCATTGCAAAACTGGACATTTTTACTTGCCTTGTAATGCAGGGAAATAAGCAGTTTAAACTTTTGTTTGGTAAGGTCAGGAGTAATGTTAGAGAAACAGAATAGAATAGAATAATATATACTTCAGTAGAAAACCTCTCTCATGTCAGGAGCTAAACCTTAAAGATAAAAATATGCCATAACCCACAACCACCAACCTCCACCATGTTATTTTCCACTGCCCTATTTTATTTTCACACTGTTGCCTGTTTCTAATAATTTCTCCTGCCCATAATCCCATCACAGTGAAGTTAATATACAGTATATTTCACTCTCAGGACCTTTTGTTCAGCTGTCATGGTGAGGCTTTGCAGGCGGCAGGTCATGTTGCTCAGACTCTTCTCAAAGGCTGCCACCAGGTGAGCCTACATACAGAGAGACAAAAAGACAGCCTTTAGCTGCTGCATGAGTGCAGGTTACATATCACTAGAACATAGTTCCTTCGATATAGGAGTCAGCTTCTGGAAAAAAGTGTATCCAGAACCAGATATGCCTACAAACATCACTGAATCTTTCGAATTGGTTTTCTGTTAAAATGTAATTAAACGGATTCCAGCTGAAAATGTAGAATAGTAGGTTTTAATCTCTTTGAAATACTAAAATGTAAAGATGGACTATTTTCTTTGCAACTTGAGCTCTGTCAGAATGTACAATATACACTTGCCTATGTGCAAATCAATATTCACAATGAATAACTTAACCCTTGTGTTGTGTTCGGATCTGTGATGAAGAAAAAAGCCCATACAAAGAAATAAGTTATTCTGCAGGTTGGTGACGAAAGATTTGAAGTGAGATTTTACTTGGGCCAAAAAGGATGAATGACCAAATGAGACTTGGTATGTAAAGTTTGCTCAAAGGCCTGAAGGCTCTTACTGAACCCCAGCGAAGAGATTCCCTGTACACTGCTGCTGGTATCTATATTTATCTATATCTATATCTAGCAAAAAAAAATGTTCCCTTTCTCTTCAGCCAGCTGCAAATTTCAAGGGCAAGTTCACACCAAGCATGTTAAAAGTTTTTGTATGTTTTTTTTAACAGAGATTTTGGAGCATTTCATATGGCTTCACAGTTGCATCTTATTGCTGTGAATTAATTCGAATCCATTTTACCATGCGCCAAAACAAATGTTCTCTAGACTAATATTACCAAGAAAATACTCAGCACAGAGAGAGAGATGTCGATATCACTGAGGCACACAGATCAAAGAAGAACTGACTTCCTTGACTCCACTTGCCATATGGAGATGCAGGGGAGATACGCTGAAGGATGGGAAATGCTTAGTGACGTTTTGCCATCTGCTTTGCTGAACCTGTGGTTTGTGTATGCATGTCCTTGTGCAAAATTTTGCCTGTATGTGTGTATTAAAGCCCTGCATGTTTGTGTATGTGTGTGTGTGTGTGTGTGTGTGTGTGTACCTACTCCCAGATCATCTTAGCTAGAAACCCTGAGACATTGTCAGGCATGGTGTGTCACAGAGAGGTAGGTAGCATGCCCAGACAGAGCAGACAATCTATACTCTACACACGCACACACGCACACACCCACACACACCTACACATACACACATTTGTATCATTATATTTTCAAGGACTCTCATTCACTGGATTTCACAGCATATGTTTCCAAATGTTCTGCTCTGAAAAATGATAAAATTAGGTATCTTTTTATCATTGTAAAGTCTTTTGGTCCAAATAGGAAAAGAAATAAACCCACACCCAGTATCACCCTGTCTATTCTACTGTGTCCCTTGAAATGTACAAACTGATGCTTAAAGACCACACAGGCAAAATCACCACAGCTGAAGATGACACTATGTGATTCAAAATTTCCAACAACTGTTAACTTAACCACTGTCATTAACTATTGATGATGCATAGAGAAGGATTGTCCCATTTTATAGGGAAACATTTCAACCATGACTTCTTTTTTTTTACTTAATGAAGAAGTACTCAAAAACAAGGGGTAGTGGTAAAAACAGGAAATGGGATTGGGCCTAAGACTGGTAACCTTTTCCACTGTTGTTTTGATGCTCAGTGATGCTGTTGAGAGCCAGTAAACGTCAACAACAAATATGGTGAGTCTTGTATTTCAAATTTTGCTTTTGACTTTATCTGTTTTTAACATAATTTTACTACGCAAAGCATACACATGCTATGGCAATATCAGTTAAAACATCACAGTTGGCTCAGAAATGAAATACTTCAAACATGTACTTTCTCTTTTTATCTGCCTGCATTTGCTGTAAATGCTGGTTTTACAAAGCCAACATCAAACTGTAAAGAAACTGTTAGAAATCTCTGTTTATGGTGTTGTAAAACACTACATCTAAAACAACAGCACAAAACTACCCACAACGGCTTTGAGACAGCTGAAGGATTTGATAGTGCAGTCAACTTGTCTGTTGCCAGTTACAGATATGACATCAGTGACGGTGACTCATCTGCTTCTTTCATTTGACTAACTCTAAAGTAGCTTGACTACTGGTGCCCCAACGTGGTGATGTGTTGTAAAGTATTTAACTGTAACACATTGTCAAATCCAGGCAAAGTTGAGTGAACACTGTCTCATGGTTGAGTCATGCAAGCTACACTACCAATCTCTGTACTACAAACATACACATATCACTCATGAAAGAAAGCTATTGCAGTACTAATTCCTTAGTTTGTTACATTAATCATTAACATTAATTTAATTTTGTTGCTTTGTCAAAGATGCCTTTAAACAACTATAAAGCTGTCACACCCACAGCTCAATATTCTGTAACACATGTATAAACTGAAAATGAGGCATTATGGCTTAATACATAAACTGCCTATGTTTTGAGTGACTTTACTGACCATCTATCACTTCATAAGACAGATGATGTACATTGCTTTTGTGGTTTCCAGGCATTTCATCAGGTGTGATATCATATCCACATATTACAAGCAGCAGTTTTAGTTTGATAGCTGAAAATCTTATAATATCTTATAAATGCCTGCATAACTCTTTCATAAAGTCATGCCTTCCTGTTTCTTTCATGAAGTTATTCTGCAGTTTAGCCTTCTGTTTAAGCTCTGCACAACTTTGTAATCAAAACATTGGATTAAAGTGAAGACCCTGTTTGCTTCCACGCTTGATCAAGCACTTGGCATTGGGTTAGGTTAGGGGAGGGGAGCAGAGCTGAGAAGACGCTGGAGTTACAGGTCACTGTGCACTAAGACAACCAGGCACAGGGACAGTTTCTTCCCCCAGGCTGTCACTCTGATGAACACTCAACCAAGGACAGTATGACTGGACAATAACCCTCAGTGCAACACTTGTATATATATATATATATATACATTGTACAGATTATACAGACTCGTACAGGTCTCTAGCTTTAAGTACTCTGTTTTTATCCCTATTTATCTAATTTCAATGAACATTACTTGTTGTCTGCATTGTTTACTGTCTGTTTATACTGCTTATTCTCCATTGTTTGCACTGTTTGTTGATGTTAATACTGCTTATTTTGTCATATTACACAGCCTTATGCTGGTTTACTGTTTGCACATTGAGAGCCGATATACCTGAGTCAAATTCCTCGTGTGTCCGTCACACCTGGCCAATAAAACTGATTCTGATTCTGAAACACACGCAAACTCCTAAGTACACACACAGCACCTTCAAACACACAGAAAATGGATTTGTGGATGCTGTAGCAGAGTGAGCAGGTGGGCAGAGGGTGAGAGGGTGAGGCTGCACCGGCGCATAGTGACAAAGGAGCCCACCTACTGGCCCAGTCTGCCTGACTGAATTTGCATTTTTGTTGTTTAGTTGAATATTTTGAATAAAGTCTGTTTGTGTGTTTTGATTGCAGAAAAATAAAAAGTCAGCCTTGGACTACATCTGTGTCACTGCCAAGGGGTTCTCAACTTACGCAGCAAACAGCACCAGAGGGGACACTGTAGCCTATCTGGTATGGTCATTGATTGCACACCCTTAGTACCCCCTTAATAGGGCCCCTGTACTTTAAGTCAATTTGGCTGCTGGTGTCATATCAGCGTGTCTGCTATATTTTGCATTAACAAAAGAGACTGGAGCTTCCCCAGAAGCAACAACAAATATTTTAAGGTTTACTTGCAAGATTAAGGTCGCAGTTTACTTTGAACAGTGTACTTTGAATGAAGGATACATTCGTGCCCCAAAGAGGCATCTAAGATGATGCACACACACCTTAAAGACCCTATAGTGGTTCATACCATTTCCACTCTCTATTGGGGGCCTTTTACTTTACCTGTTGTCAGTAACGTCAATAATGAATGAATAAACATTATTACTAGTGATGCCCCCCCACTTCAAGAACTGAAAAGGGCCCAGTAGAAGTCATCACCCCCACTGCAATGAGCCCTCAGCTCTGCCCCTGTAGTTTAAAAATTCATATTTCTTCCTGAGCTTCAATAAGTAACACCTTCCTCAAAAGCTCTCTGACAGCAGGTTATGATGCAAATGAGCCAGCTGTTTTGATGGTGTCTTTTGAAATAAACAAACTCACATTAGCAGCCAGCTGAGATGTCAGGGTTGCCACCTTCTCCTGAGAGGCGTCCAACTCCCGACGAAGCTTTCTGATTTGCTGGTTGGGACAAAAAGAACAGAGGTAAATGTTTGGTTAATGCTCCAGAAAAACATCAAGAAAATAAGGGGTGATTGTACTGCAAAGAGATGCTGAAATTACAACTCCCGTGTTGACAACTTTGATGTAAAAATGGTGTAGTTACATGGTAATACTTTGTTAAAAGACACTGGGTGAAGTGTGACATAAAGTGTGGGGGATTACCGTAGAATTTTGGACTGTTTGGCCCTTGATTGAAAAGAGAAGAGTAAACATTAACACTATGTTGCATGCCTGCATCAAACATCAAGTACTGATGTGGCTGGAGGGACAGAGGTTATCAACAGCCACAGTACTGGTTTTCTCAGGGTTAGACTTTGAGCAGCAAAGCGAGAGCTACAGATACCTAGGTCAAACAGCATTCGCAAATACCTGATACTGTTTCTTATATAAGGAGCAAAGTGCCAGATGTGTCAGTTTACCAAAATGGACTACACAAGTACAAGAAGTTATGGAAAATCACAAGGAAGTTTTTCTTTTTGTTCACACTGATGATTTTAATGCTTAGCTCAGATTTGCTGTCAATGTCAGAATTTCTTTGATTTATGTTTATTTGGGCTGTCAAAATTAAGGTGATAATGATGTGTTAATGCAAATTCCTTTTAACGCCACAAATTTTTAATTGATGCGCAATCATAGCATGCACATTCTGTGACTATGACCCTCAGACCGCCCTGTAGTTTGGGAAATCAGGAAGTGATGTAGCAGCAGAAATGAGCAGAAATTGGTAAAGAAAAGGATCTTTTGAAGGACATGTTCAGCTTCCAAGTCCTGCCAGATGGTTCTCTCGACAAGATCAAAGTTTTTTGCATTTACTGTTGATATGAATTGAGTTACCACCAGAGTACATGGAGTCTCAAATATCACTTTCTGGCTAAGCACACAGAGGGCCCTCTGCACCTCGACAAAGACAGACTATCCTGGATAATTTGCAACGGAGACACCTGGACAACTCTACAACTAAAAAACCTTTAACAGCAATAGCTAAATGGGTGGCCACAGCTTGCAGGCCAATTAACATTGTGGAGGACCAGGGAAATAATTCACATTGCATCCAAAGATGAATTGCCTTTGAGAGTCACCACTGTAACCAACATACACAACTTGTATAAAGATGAGAAGCCTAAAATGGAGGAGGTATTGGGGCAGACTAAGATGGTCGCACTCACTGGAGACTACTATACTTCTCTCAGTAATCAAAGTTACCTCAGGGTCCCTTTAAAGTACATTTAGAACCAGCGATGGATGAAGTACTCAGATCCTTTACTTAAGTAAAAGTAGCAATACATCAGTGTAAAAATACTCGGTTACAAGTAAAAGTCCTGCATTCAAAATGTTACTTAAGTAAAAATGCAAAAGTATTAACATCAAAACATGCTTAATATACTAAAAGTAAAAGTACTAATTATGCAGAATGGCACATTTCAGATTCCTGTATATTATTGTATTATAATTACTGATACATTATTGTGTACATCACATTTAATGCTGAAGGTGGTAAAGGGAGAGGTAGTTTTAACTAGCTTATATCCATTTAATATAAATTACTTCTGGGTAGCTTGTGAATTTTCCATCATAGATCAATAAACTCATAATTCTACTATATGTTTTGCATTAATGTGTCTATGAAAGGTAACTAGTAACTAAAATTACAAACTAAAAGTAGTGAAGTAAAAAGTACAATATTTGCCTCTAAAATGTAGTGAAATCAGAGTATGAAGTAACAGAAAATGAAAATACTCAAGTAAAGTACAAATACATCAAAACTGTACTTGAATAAATGTACTTAGTTACTTTTTATCACTGTTTAGAACAGATTAAAAATGTGTGATTAATTGCTTGATAACTATGGACAATCATGCGATTAATCTCAATTACATAATGTTTATGTTTGAATATAATCCATATCTGAAACCAGTATGAGCAGATAGTAAAGTTGACCAGACATTTACACAGACTGAAAGTGACGAAAACCTATTTCCTTCTTGTTTCAGCACATTCCACTGACATTTTAGCAGAAAAGATTTAGATTTTTACTCAGTTGACAATTCTCAAAACAAGCTCTTTTAATGATTTCTCTTTACTATTGTTTCTCAACCTCCATGCCAACACTGCTTAGTCAAGTTTATATGGTGTTAATATTATTATATAAATGATAAAGAATTTAAGTCTGGTGTAGGTAACCTGTAAACATTATCTACAAGCTGTTTGGCAGTAGTTCATGATTTAAGTATACATTGAGAGCTGTCCTAAAATGCTAAACTCCACCCATCTGGCACGGTTAAAACAAACACTGTAATGTATTTGCCATTACTGTTTGATCCAAACTTGTACTTAAAACACCAATAAACAAGGACATAGAGAAAGAAAAGAAGACAAAAACTCAAAGAACAAAGCAAAAAGAGCCAAAGAGCAGAGCATGCATTACTTATGTACAATGGAAGTGTTTGTAATGAGTAATCTATATAAACTTTGTAGCATAGAAGGGATGTGTGGTTATTTATGATCAAGATGAAATAAATGCAAAAGATTCACTTTTAATAAAAAGCAGTGCAACATAGGGTTAAACCGCTTTATTGTAGAACTTGAAACCACTTTATTCATGACCACTTGTTTGTGTTTATTTTCACATCAAAAATAACTGTCAGTATGAGCCCAAGTGGCTTTAAATTGAACTGAACAAATATCACAGTTTGCACTTGACAGACTGTCTCTGACTACAGGTGCAGTGTAATAGAAAGACACCTACATGTAAAGACATACAGACAAACAGCCAGCAGTCTGCAAAACATGCATGCAACACAGACGTTGTTGGAGTGAATCCCAAATAGAGCAAAAAATCTAATCCAGTAGGCTACCCTTGAGGCGCACCTCGCCTCACCCACAGAACTGCTCAGGAGCCGTATTGCAGAAAGCTAAAAGGAAGAAACATGCGGACCAACAGATGAACACAATGTTACCCATCCTTACCTCTGAATGTGCTTTCTCCTCTGTCTGTAAGAAAGAAGTAAACATAGTTTATGTTCATTCAAATTCCTTTCAAAATAAGCATTTTAATGACAAAATAAGAAAAAAATGATGAAATGGTCAACACAGAGACAAGGAGATTAATGCTTTAATTAAAATGAGATTAAAGTAACAATATCTCTGGTTTTGAAGCAGATCAAGTCTGACAGACAAGCACAAAACAAACAAATGAATTGAACTGGGAAGAAAACTTTGTAAACAAAACATCAGGACTTTGCTCTGCAACTTGCAAATGCAATTGGAAATTGATGGGTGATAATTGATCCTGCAGGTAGCAGTGGGTTATCAAAGTTTTTGCCATGAAAACCACTTCTTGCTGTGTTTTGGAAGTGAAGCTGATGAGAGCGGTTATATACATTTAGGAAGAAAAACTGCCTAGCTACTTACTGCCGAGTACAGTGAAGATGTGCTGGAGACCAGAGACAATGACGAGCCATGAACTGTAAGCACAAAGAGAATAATAATAAGGTTTAGTAAAATGCTTAATCATAAAACTAGTGTAAAATGGGTCGCAATGCTACAGATAAAATTAACGTGACCATACTATATTCTACCTTTTCAATTAAATCTGAGATTGAGGGACTTCTAAAGTAATTTTGAATGCCTTCTTATTTATTCTTGACTTATTAGAACTTAATAGTTAGACAAAAAACATGATTTCTAATGGCTGCTTATCAGGGAACTTGAGTCTTTTTTGGAACACAGTTCTTTTAAAAAGTGCATTTAAGACAATGTCCCACCTTCATCCGTGCTGTCCCGGAAGGAGCCAGAGCGGCTGATACCCCGTGGTCGCTCCTCCAAGGAGGTTGCGCTGCCACCCAGTGGGTGACCCTCTCCATACAGGTCAAAGGAGTCCTGGGCAGGGATGCTGTTGGAGCGGCTCATGCTGTTGCTGCCTGGTGGCAGGTTATACTGGCTAATGTTAGTGGGACTCACTGCACAGAGGAAACAAATATACCAAGGCTAATAAGTGACAAATCCCCCTGCATATTTAACAAAACCTTTACTTTGGGTAAAGAATTTTTTTTCTCACTCACATGGAGAACTTTTGTATTTGGCATTTTATATCTGAGCTATTACTGTTACAGTTAGAATTTATACTTACACAGGTTGGAGTAGTGGTATTTTCCAGTGGTGGTGCAGGAAGCTCCTGAAGGAGACAGTGGGGATTGGCTGCCTGTGTCCTGAAGTCCCCCTGTTGAATGGGACCTCAACCACTCCTTCCCTTCCTCATGCGATGTCTGCCGGGAGGATGGAGGGTATCTGTAACCCACAAAGGCACTGTAAGGTCATGGTTACCAGCAAACAACTGTCAAGTCCAAGTGGTGAAGTTCTGTGGTGATGAAATAATTGTGGAGCTGCATAATAGTATGTGAGCAGACAGTATAAAAACATGCAGTCACACCACACAGCTGTCCACATGCATACATCTAAACAAGGTCAGCCATATTTTACAGTTCTGGCTCAAAGCTGCCAGTCACACTGACACTGCTGCTCATCTTTCTCTCCCCAGCTTCAAAATAGCTCAGCAGCTGAAGACCCCTTATCACTCGCATGACAATTGGCCGTATTTAATCCACTGAGGATGATAATTGAGTTTGCGCTTATCCTTTTTCAGTGCCGGCTTCCTTCCAACACCCCCATTACTATGCTTATCATATCTGACCCCATGGCTGTGCTTCATAGTCTCTCCACTAGGTAATGAGTGTCTAAGTGTGTGTTGAATGGTGTGGCACAGCAGTATTTGTCCATCACCATCGGAGAATGTTTTGAGACCAGCATGCTGCATTCAACTTCTCTGCACCAGTATTGTATAACTGCCTCAAGAGGCTGTCCTCTGCAGAGTTGTGCCACTTATGATGAACAAGCTATCGTGTTTCTGCCACTCTCGTAGTCCCAGCTAAATTCAAAATATGAGTTCTACCTGCCACCCACCCCACCCTACCACACCTTGGCTAACAGAGCAAATGTTATCACACACTACAGGCCACTTTAGGGAGCTGAGGAAGATGTGCTCAGTTATAGATACTGTGCTTGCTAGTTATAAAAGCGCATGACATGAGAACACAATGAGGATGCACAGAGAATCAGACATGCAAACAAATGGACAAAATCTCTCTTGCCTGGTGATTGGAGAAATCATTCATACTGTATCAGAATCATCCACCTTAAATTAAGAGACTTCTATTCAGATTTGGGCTTCAGGATCTTTGGTACAAAATCAGATCCTGAGGTATGAGAGAACTAACATCAATTTTGTGGGATGATGCCTCAATAATATCAAAAAATACTACAGGGTATGAATGTCACTTTCAGCCCTTTCCATTAGGGATCGCCACAGCGAATTGCCACACTGACAATTCGCATCTTGACATTTGGCACGTTTTATGCCGGATGCCCTTCCTGACGCAACCCTGACTTGAACCTGGGCTGCAGTGGCGAGAGTGCTGTGCCCTAACCTTAAAAAAAAACAACTACAGGGTAAGGTGCCTAAAACATGCTGGAAAATATACTGTAGGAGAACGGTAGAAAATGTAAGTATTTGTTCTGTATGTACAGTAATTAGTTAATCCACAGATTGAACTGGCATGAATACAACATACAATCACAAGATTTTATGATCTATAAATCAGTAGTTCTCAACCTTTTTGTCAGCTGTACATCCACAGATCTGTCAAATAACCTAAAGTACCCCTTCGTCAATGCCTGTTTGTTTCAAGCATTTATTAAGATAATAATTTTAACAGGCTGCCCATTACTTTAAAACATTATATTACCTTCATTTGGTTTTGTGACTTATAATAAGTGTCTTCTAAACACGAAGCAGGAGTTAGATATCTTTTAACTATTTTAACTGTTCATCCATTATGTTAAGCTATCTGTTGTAAAATGTATCCATTGCTTTAAGCTAAACATTCAACCATGTATCATTACTTTTTGCTAAACACCATTTATAAATTACTTATAGCTGTGTCAACTGTTTATCCACTTGATAGAAATGATGTGCTTGCTAAGCAGTTATTAATCAAAGCTATATCTTACTAAATATCACAAACACACTCATTTGTCAATTTGGTAGGTACACCTAGCTGAAACTAATACAACAGCCCTGCAATAAACCTTTAATATGAAGGTGATACAATGTCAAATGTATGATGATTTTAGAATATGACATTTGTGGTTCTGCTGACTTATAGTGTGTATACTGACATGTGTTTGTCCAGCTCATTTATATCTATGAGGCAAGGCTAAATAACAGAAATGGCTCTCTGTATAATGTGATGCATTTCAACAGCAGCACAAACTACAACTTCCACAATGATTGTTGCAGGACTATAGTAATTTTAGCTTGGTCTACATAAAAAAACTGTAAATTAAGTGTTTTGTTTTAATTGCAATTTATGTTTTTATATCTATTATTGGAGACCCTCCACAATATTTCCACATGCTACAGTCTCATGCAGAAGTACACCTAGCAGGGAATCAGTGTTATAGATGCCACACACACACACACCAAAATGACATCGTCTTGGTAGACTTGATGATTATTTTCATGCATTTCACTCAATGTGAATGAGCAACAGAATAACAGTTGAGATGGAGATCAGACTGCAGATGTGTTGTACCTCAGTCCCTTTTTGGGAAGCGTGTTTCTGTCAAGAGGCATGCTGTTAAAACATGAGGGCGAGTGAATTAGATTTGCTTTTGTGATTCATGACACAAATCAATTTTTGGCCACAATTTTGACACACATACACATACGGTATGCAAACGGATGTACTCTATGGAGAAAACATTAAAGACAGTAACTAATGAATCAGAGTAAAACAGAAAATACATTTAAAACACAAGCAATATGTAAATCAATTGTCTCAGCTAGTAATTGAAAATAAATTTGTGTGGTCTTTCTATTTTTTTTGTGATGTATTGTAGTCACAGTGTGTGGTCAAAACAATGGAAAAACCCTAACACTCCCTTCTCACTGGATTGAGCATCTGAAATCATCTGAATTTATTATGGTAGTTTTGCTGGCATGACTGCCAGCCAATAAGTAATACTTTCTTTTAATTGATGACTTTTGTGCTGCTTCAGTAACACCAAGTTAACACTGGCACCTGTCAAAGTGATAGAAAAGTTGGTTGGTCAGTAAACCTCATTATATATGCTGTGATATATTCAGGTGTGTTGCCCAACTATAGAACTGTACTCAAAGATTGTCAATAATACCATAAACATGCCAGAAGGTAAACAGCTGTGTACTGAAGTAAGTTGTAATTTTTTTTTTCTAATTTTTATCAGTGATAATACTTAGCCATACTCTGCACTGTGTGTAAGATCTTTTTGTTATTTGTTCTCAAGTGAAACAATAAATACGATTCAGCCCAATTGTATTTCCTGTTACTCACCCCTCAGACAGGGTGGACTTGACACTGCCGGTTCGTGTAACCTTGGGCCCGTGGTGGCCCAGTGGCAGATCAATGGACTCAGAGCTGGTGTGCAGACTGGTCATGCTTTGGCAGCTCAGTGTGTCTTTGCTGCCAGCTGATGAGCTACAGGCAGGCCAAGGCCGAGCGCTGGAGGGTAAGGAGAGGCCAGAGGCCGGGCTGGAGGCCGGGGAGTCAGTGCACAAGTCTGGGGTTTTACCATACAATGGGCTGCTGCCACCACTCAGGCCACTAGCGCTGCCCAGGCTCCCTGTGCCAGAGGAGGGCGAGTCCAGACTGGCCTGCCTTGCCAGAGTGCCGTGGGGACTACCCAGTATAGAGGGGCACTTGCCAGAGTCTGGCGTGCCCGGAGAGCTGGCCTTGCTGCTGGCTTTGGTGCCAAACAATCTGGGGGTAGAGAGGTGGGTGTAGTCATTCAGAAATGCTCAAAGGACAAGTGGTGAGCATCTGCAAGATCCATACTGGAAAATAAAGGACTGAGATATACTTTGGGGTTGAGAAAGTGGATCACCATGACATCTCACAGGCCTGCTGTATATTACAAATGAAACTGTATTAGTTGCAAGCATTGAGAAGAAAATATCAGTGGAGTGAAAAACAGCCATTCCCGACATTTTTACTGTAACTTTAAACTGCAGATAAAATAGTGAGTGGGCTTCATAACAATCATCTTCTGCAGCAAACTTGAACTCACTGGAGCTCTGAACTCTCAGTAATTTACATCAACACATCTGCTTTCACAGCTTTGCCCATTTCAACCCTATGACATTAAATAGCCCAATCTGTCAGGCCATGCAATCCTTTACCTTTCACATATGCTCAGACAGGCTGCTACTCTGCTTGAGCCTGTCCCAGTCTGTCATCGCAATCACACAAAATATATAGGTGACACTCTCCCAAGGAAAATGAAACAAAACAAACAAAAAAAAAGGCTTGAAGACGCAAATGAAATGGGTCGGCTTGACAGATTGGATGTGTGTTTGGCCATGCCCGCTGAATGCATGCGTCTAATGTGTTAGGGATTGGAATGTCAAGAAATTCCTGTATCCTGTCTTTTCCGATCAAGACTACTGAGCTGGATTTGCCTAAGTTAAATTAAAACCATCAGACCTTCATCTTTTTGGGTAAGGATATGTATCATCTGCAGTAGCCGATCACCTACACCAGGAAGCAATGTAATGGCACCTCTTGGCTATGCGACCGAGTAAACTCAATCAATTTTTTCTATGAAGGCGCTGAAATATGATTTATTAGATATCTTTTTTTCATTTTGTGTAAACCAACATAAATAAAATTGATATAGATGACAGAGTTTTCTCTAAACCATGATGAAAGTTTACCGCCATGGATGGCTTCTTCAAAAAAATGCCCATATCTTGCATAGCTTGCATTAGGAAAACACGACTGAACAACATAAACATGAGTTTATCATCATGAATGAAAGCCTCCTTAAAACGTAATTCTAAAATGGAGGTGTTGATGATGTTGTATGAATCTTTTGAAAATAAATTTTATATTATATTTTAAACTGAAATTATATTTTAAAACATCATTTGTTGTTAATAATTAAGGAACTGAAAACGAAGGTGGTGAAATGCTTGAGTCACATAGAGACACACATGGTGAGAAACAAAGACAGAATGAGAGTGGAAGTCATATTGTGTGTGTCTGACCTGCGTAAGGTAGGAGAAGCAATGTCAGGGTACTTGGAGCCAGGCTGCCTGAGGCCTGACTGGCCTGTTGAGGTGGAGGTGGGGCTGGACTTTGGGGAGGTGGACAGTCCTGCTGGATCCTGGTCTGACACTGACACTTTCTCTTTGTCTGTCTGATTTACGGTGATGGGACTGGAACGGTCTGAGGCCACTTTTCCGTCCCTGCGTTTGGCACCCGCTTGTGTCGCTGCACCACCAGCTGACTTGCCACTGACATTTGAGTCGATGCTGCTGGAGCTGGAACGATGACTGCTGCGCCCTGCTGCCACTCCACTAGAGGATTTGGCCGGTCTGGGTAGGGAGCGGTATTGCAGGGTCACTTTGGAACCTCCGCAGCTGAGCAGAATACCATCATCCTGGGGCTGGGAGCCATCCAGACTGGTCTTCCGCACACTGCCAATGCCTGTGCCCTTACCAAGGGCAGCTGAGGATTTGGGCACCTTGCCAAGGGTGGCTGAGCCACTAGCAAGTGCTGCACCGCTAGAGGTTATTAGGGTGCCAGTGGGACCTGGGATCTTCATGTATCCAAAGGAGCCTGTGGTGGGTGGGCGTGCAATGCCAGATGGGGGTTTCTTGCCTTCATCGCCACTACTCTTCCCGGCATCTGAGGGTGAGCGCTGGATGCTAGCTGAACTCTTGGAAGGGGCCTTGCCCTTTTCAGAGGCCTTAGCATCATCAGTTTTGCCTGTCAATTTGCATAAACACTTATTAGCATGAATACATAAACATTACAGTCAGCAGACTCTTGGCCCACCACTTGTTTCTATCACCTAAAGCAGGGAAAGTCAAATTAGAGCAAATTCTGGCCAGACTCCAGATGACAATTTATCACAGCTCAGCTGCACTGAGAAACAATGCTTACCTGAAACAAAGCTGCTAAACATGCTGAGAGAGTGATCTGAAAATTTTTAGACGAACTGCAAAGTCTCTAACCATAGGTGTCAGTGAAAACCATAGGTGTCAGTGAAAAGAATATGTTGCAGAAGCTATAAATCTAGTGTAACTCATATTGTACCGCTCCATTCCAAAAATATGCAATAGCAGTATTAATATAAACGTGAAGCATTATAGGCTTTTTTCACAGAAGACATTTTGACATGTTACAGTGGGAAATAAAACAGTGATGGGAGCGACTGTGGCTCAGGAGGTAGAGCAGATCATTTCCTCACTGGAGGATTAGCGGTTTGATTCCCGGCTTCTCCAGTCAACATGGCAAAGTGTCCTTGAGCAAGACACTGAACTCCCAGTTGCTCCCGGTGATGAAACCGATGTGTGAATGTGCGAGTGTTTTTGAATGTTAATGAGTGAATGGTCAAGTAGTGTGGAAGCGCTTTGAGTGTAAAACAGTACACACATGACAAGTAAAAGACCATTTACCATTACCATTTAATGCGAATTCCAGTTAACTGCTTCAGTTTCAGGGTCCTGGTATTGTGCATGTTGTGCATGCTGGCTCACTGTCACACTGTCATGACTTACTTGGACACTTGAATAGAATGGCGCAATCCTTATTGTTATTAGTGCTTTTATCGCTTTGATAGATGAAATATCTGCTGTGAAAATGGTCTAATAGTTTTACTGTATTAAACTTAATATACAGAGTCAAGGGTCCAAAACATTTGCTTTAAGAAATCATTTAATGGTGTCAGCATAAATAGTTCAAGTTCCTCTAAGTAACTTTCTAAGTGGCTGGTTTAGGCACTCCATAACACTGAAAAGGCAATGTTGGCTGTTTGAAAAATTAGTTAAATGCACACTGATGTACTGTTTTAAATACACAGAATGCTTACTGTATAAGAGTATAATAATGAGTGCACATTTGTTTATGAAAAGCAGTTTTTATCTGAAAAGAAAAATTCAAAGGGAACACAAGTTATCCTTTGTTAAACTATTTGTACATAAGAACATAAAGTGTCCCCCGTCAGTAATAAAAAAATTGACCACATGAACTTTTGTTTTATCACAAGCACAATGTTTGATACACTTGCATCTTAAAGCAACACAGCTGCAACAGATGATCTCCCACAAATTAAAACCTTTTAAGGGTCCTATGTGACAAGAACACCTTTGCTGTTTTGGTGCCTTGTGCTTCTGGATATTTTGTTTTACTGTCTGTATCATAGATGTAGGAAAACTTATGCAAAAAGTGCTTGATGCATATTTCTGCCTACTGTCTATTTTTTCTGCTGTCAAAGTGAGAACTGTTTTTAATTTTGCATTTTGTTTCAATCAAAGACAATTCACAATCCAATTAACCCCACCTCCTCACACTGAAATACTTCACTGTCTTACTGTACTTTATTTCTTCGACTGGCATACCTGGTGTTTTCAGGCTGGCAGAGGTGCTCTTGGTCCTGGGTGGTGTGATGCCCACCTGGGCTGTCATGCCCCTCCTCCACGAGCCTGTCTGGGAAATCTGGGCCAAGGCAGTGGCCTTTGAACCAGCATCCTCATACTGGCCCAAGGCTTGGGAGGAAGAGGAGGATGAGGAAGGCTTCCACCGGGAGGAGCTACTGCTGGGGTCCATGCTTACATCCAGCTCCTCCTCTACCTTCTTCAGGTCCTCAGCTCCAGCCCAGCTGCTGCTCACCTGCTGCTCTGCATGTTTGGATCTGCTTCCTCTCTGGGACTGGTGGTTTAAGACATTATCAGATTAATGAATGGTTCAGTAAAATAATAAGACTGTTTTCCTAAAATCTCAAATGGTATAGTGTCTTAACCCTCATGTTATGTTGACAATGTGACCCATTGTAAAGTTAAAAAGTATAAAAACAATAGCTAAAAGTATTTTATTGGTATGAAACTTCTTCTGCTTGGCTTAATAGGTGTAATCAACATATAAAATGAAAATGGAATGAAAATTCAATGTCATGTAAAAATAATGTATTTTATATGTAGGTCTTTCCAATGTACATTAAAAAAGTTTAATATGCATTTTTTATGAAAAACAAGTGCATTATCCTTATTAAACCATAATCTGTGAGAGGTAAAGAACACCCTTGTACTAAATGGGGATTGAAATGGTTAGTAATGGTAAAATTAACCCAGGAACATCACTGCTGTTCCTGAGAAATGAACATAACAGGGTGGGTTTTTTTAAAAATAGCACCTGTTTACCACTACAATATAATAAAAATGCAGTGTTGACAATAGAAAGGTATGGATGTTATAAATGCACAGTAACAGCCAATGTCAAGCAAGTTACATTATTTTCTTGGTATGCTGAAAATAACTAAAGAAAGAAAGTCAGGCTATACTTGAAAAATGCTCAGAAATAATGTAAGGTATTGATTACTTGTACTTAATAGTCTAAATCATGCTACACCTCATTTATGATCTTTTAAGAACTGATATTTTAAACACACACAGTCACCATCAAGAAATATAAGTCCCTGCACAAACAGCGCAGCAGAGCGTGTGTCTGTGTGTGAAGTCATAGCTATCTTTGGAATCACCCATATTCACATCTCCTCTTTTGGGACGCATAAAAACACACCCACACAAACAGTGATAACTAGCCTGCCCTGACAGATGGCCAGTCTCCCTAGCAACATTAGAGTCTCTTAAGATCCCAGTCTTTTGAGTATTTCATAAGGGGCCAAAGAAATCAGGCTGAATACAGCATCGTCCCTGAGGAGAGCTGTGCAGTGGCCTTAAGTCAACAGATAATTCCCTCAGCTGTGATTTCAGAGCTCACCATGCTGGCCTGGGCTTCATGCTAAATCAACATGCATGTAACTCAGCATCTGAAGAAGGAATCTAGTTAGATCTGGCAAATAAACAAACTTTTGTACAAAATGGGGTTTGTTTTCTTGTAGTACTCATTTTCACTTTCTGTATTGTAACTGCTTTTTACACTTCTCCTTTTTTATTGTATTAAAAAGTTAAAGTGGTAACCCAACAACTTAGGGCTGCACTTCTACAAAGCAGGAAACTGAATGGTCAAGACTGAAGAAGCAAATTACAGTATGTCCTGTTGTTATTCAACAGTGTGGGTCAAACCCAAAAATACTAGATCATACATTTCCCATAATGCCTCAGATGCATCTTACCCTCTATGCCTTAATGTCCTCTTTCACCTGAGTGTGTAACTAAATGAATAAACTAAATTAACTAAATGCTTATGCTAACATAGCAACGTGCTCACAATGCCAGTGCTAACACAATAATTGTTAACAGGTACTGCATAATGTTTACCATGTTCACCATCTTAATCTAACATGTTAGCATGCTAATATTCGATAATTAGCACTAAACACAAACTCAGATGATAGGCTGATGAATGTCAGTAGTCAGTAGGATCTTGTCATTAAGAAATATCATTAATTAATGCCATTTTACAGGTATTTGGTCATGAACCGATGTATTGGACATTTTTAAATGGTGACCTGATGGTGGCACTAAAGAAGAAATTACCAAAGATATCACAATTCATGCTGAGTGGGGACATGTTTGTCTCAAATTTCAGCAGTTAAGAATCCTAAATAACATCAGAACCCAGGTGCTGAGGAAGTGCACTTTATGCTTAGTGCTTGTGTCCTTACCTGCACTCCCCTACTTTTGCGTGATGAGCTGACAGCAGAATAGGCAGGCGAGTTCAAATCATCAGTACTTATGTTGTCCAGTGTGTCGCTCAGGCCGCTGCTTACTGAGCTGCTGTCGTCCCAACTATATTAGAAGGGGAACAGAGGAAAAGGATAAATTGAGGTTGGTAAGGTTTATGTACATCTTTGATGTGGCACCTTTTAGTTTTAGCAGTAAATAGTAGAAGAAGTAATACTAACATAATAATAACAGTATTCTTGTGACCTTACACAGCAGTGCTCTGTGCTTTACTAACATGTTGTATGCACTCCATCTGCCATCATTGTCTTTTTACCCTAATTAAACCTTTCTTCAAAATGTTGCTGAATGATTGCAGAAAAAAAGCACCGGAATTAACTATAATTTTCCTCCTTGTCAAATCACTAGCTAGGGTAGCAAATTTGTAGATCATTTGTAATTACCCAATTTATCTCTTCAAACAGCTATGCTTTTTTGGGCCCCACTGACTTGAGGGTTTTTTTGTTTTGTTTTGTTTTTTGTTTTTTAATGAAGAAAAGAGGCACTGGCTCATTATTGTTCAGATTCTCATTAACTTTCAGTGTGTGGAGGAATATAAGGTTCCTCATTACCACCATCAGTATTTTGCTGTTGTTAGAGACTGACAGACACGAAGAGCATCATAAATGAGGAGCATATAGATCAAACAGCAATCATCTACGCACACACACACACACACACACACACACACACACACACACACAGATTTCCACACTGATAACTGGTTTCCATGTCAAGTCCTATCTGCATCTGTTTGCCTTTATCTATATACAGTGTGTGTGTGTGCGCATGTGTGTGTACACGCATGGGTGCAAGAAACCCCACCCTTAAACTTGATGAATCTGACCTAGCATCTTTAAGAGTCTATCACACACACACAAACAGATTCCATTCAATACTCACAAAATGACTGACACAACCACACACTGTGAGTGGTATTACAGTGAAAAACAGAGTTTTATGGACTCAGGCAGCACTTCACTTCAACAGATCTAAACTGACTTCCACCTCACTGATCCTCGACACAAGCTGCATTTGACATTATTTTTAAAAATAAAATTGAAACAACTTCAAGAAACTAATTATATTTTTTCAACAAGTCAATTCAGACTCACCATCTATATAATTCATCAGAGACAAAGATGAAATCTGAAAACATTCTAAAATAAGGTTTACAGTGGAGGATGGAAGGAAAATGTGGGTGAGCTGGAGATATGTAGACATGTATAGTAGCTGTCCAGGAAACATTATTTTCTAGAAATTTGCTCAGAAAACCAGTAACCATAATAGTTGTTAGGATTAAAACATGCATGCCCTTCTTTAGCTATATTGTAACCTTTTAATAAATAAGGATAATCACCTTTATTGGCCAAGTATGTTACACACAAGGACTTTGTTTCACTGAGATTTGAACCTTCAACCTTCTGGTTGGGAGACGACTGCTCTACCTACCGCACCACTGTCGCCGGAATTTAATTAATAAATTCATATTCATAAAAAAAAAAAACAAATGTCTTAATGTAAAATGATAAAATCTTAATCATAAATGTTGAGCAATTTCTATCAGTGAAGTTTTGAGAAACTGTTTCAAAAATTTATATATAAAAAGGTCTATGATGAATGTAGTATAGAGCAGACACCTTGCAACCCAGGTGTCCACTGGTGCAACATAAATAGAAAGTGTAAATCTGCCCAGATCTGTGACTCACAACTGCACAAACTACAGGCTTTGATTTAGGATGGAACATTATAGCTCAATGTTACGTATATGTTCAAGTTACACAGAATTGTAGGCTGATACAACTGTGTTCCTGAAAAACAAACCATAAAAAAAAAACAAAAAACAGGAAATGGGACTTTGTGTCATTGAACATAACAGCCAATTTCTGACTTTGCGATCCTTAATCTGTCATTTGGAAATTTCATTTTCCTTCAATTCAAAGACATTACTGGAAAAAGCATCTCGGGGATGGATGTTTACCCTGCTGTGGATCTTGTCATACAAAAATAAATAGCAACGTTGCTGTCAATCTGAGCTTTTGAGCTGTGTATCAACAGCTTTACCAGTTCTTTAACAAAACATGTTTCTCTTGAGCAGTGCAAATTGAACTCTCAAATCAAACAGAAGTCAGATTGTTTAATTGAATGAGTTTTTTATACACTCCCGGCTTTTGCAAACAAAACTGTCAGATTTGGCGTATAAGGACGTCAAACGGTGTTAGTGGTGGACTCAATTATAAAACCAGACGAACTGATTGAACGAAAAGGTTTTTGTGATAACTAGGCAACCAATACACAGTCCAGGTATAACAATCAGGTCGAATAGACAGTCCAGGGTCAGCGCCGGTAAACAGGTGTAGCCAGGGGATTCAAAACTCAAGAGGTCCAGGGGAAGCTCAGAAGGTCAGTACAATGCAGGCAATCAGACACTGGAAGGACTTAGGCAATAAACGGTGGTCAAAACAAACAATCCAAGGTCAGAAACAGAGTCAGGCAAGGTATGGATGCTGGAGAGTCAGAGCTAGAGTCTAGAACAATCTGGCAGGGATAGGAGGGTGAAGGCTGCTTATATTACGGTGTGAACAGGTGCAAACTATCGGGAGCAGGTGAAACTAATGTAAGTGATTAGTGAACGTAAAGTGACCGAAACAGAGGTGAAAAACAAAAACAGGAAGTAACGTAAAAATAAAAGCCTGACAGGAAGCAACGGAACCGAATCGTGACCAAAACCAGTCGAAATCAGTGGTTTTGAAACATGCTGGGCTGGTTTCCCTTTATCATTTCCTCTCATCTGCATTTTAACTAATCTTTGATAATACCTAGGCTTTGTTTTGAGTTGAGGGTAGCATCGGCTGACAGCAGCTCACTGCTTCTGACTAGTTCCAGGGAAACACTAGAGACCTCGGACACAAGATGTCAAGACAATCTGGCGAGAGAAAGTGAGACATCTGCTCAGTGCACGCATCAAATATCATTTAAGCCTCTTTTAAGGTGAATGAAAGTTCAGTTTTTCCATATCACTGCTAATTTCTGAGATAAATTGAACTTGATACCATTAAGTGATGCACAAGAGTTGCAATACAAAAAGGAGAATGGTGAAACAGAAATGAGAGGATGGTTAATCATGGAGTCTATTATCATACCATGCAAAGCGGAGGCAGATGGCTGTGAAAAAGCTAACTGACTTCCAATTTTTTTCTAAATTTAAGACCAGGTTTTCTTTTGGCTGCAATATCACCCTTTCTTCCCAGGGTGGTCTCTCTAATACAACAATGAAATTCTTTTTTCTGGAGAAATAGTCTGAACGGTGGGTAATATGTTTAAACATAACTCACAATAAATGGCTCTTAGAGTCATAATCCAAAAGTAAAAAAGCCCCTTAGCTTTTGAATTCAGTTTTGTAAATGTAAATCTTGATACAAATTTATGATAATTAACAAACAGAGTTACTAAGGCAGCACAGTGGGTAGCGCTGTTGCCTCACAGTAAGAAGGTTTTGGGATTGCAACCTTTCTATGAGGAGTTTGCATGTTTTCATGTTTTCCCCGTGCTTGTGTGGGTTGTCTCTGGGTGCTCTGGCTTCCTCCCACAGTCCAAAGACATGCAGCTTAGGGTGACTGGCAACTCTAAATTGCCCACATCAGTGCATATACTGTATATGTGTGTGTGTGTATGTATTTGTTAAAAAAGTTTGAAATATCCAATAAATTTCGTTCCACTTCATGATTGTGTCCCACTTGTTGTTGATTCTTCACAAAAAATTACAGTTTTATATCTTTATGTTTGAAGCCTGAAATGTGGCAAAAGGTCACAAAGTTCAAGGGGGCCGAATACTTCCGCAAGGCACTGTAGAAACGTCAACCGAGACGTCCCTGTTGCCAGCTTTGCAGCTGGCCATAGCAGTACAACATGAAGCAAATCAATGTGTGTGTGTCTGTTGATTAAGTGGTGTGTAGCTAAAAACTGGGGTTCAAATACATTTTTCCCTGACTGTATATATATAAGATGTGGAAGGTGAAGGCACAAATGGTCCCCGTGGTAATAGGAACACTGGGGGCTGTGACCCCCAAACTGGGAGAGTGGCTCCCAAAGATCCCAGGAACAACATCTGAGATCTCTGTCCAGAAGAATGCAGTGTTAGGAACAGCTAAGATACTGCGCAGGACCCTCAAGCTCCCAGGCCTCTGGTAGAGGAACCGAGCTTGAAAGAAGGAATACAAGACCGCCCCAAAGTGGGGGGCGAGTGGGGATTTTTTTTTTTAATATACTGTATATCCCAATTTGGGTTGCATCAGGAAGGGCATCTGGTGTAAAACACATGCCAAATGTATACATGTGAACAGTTGATTTGCTGTGGCAACCCCTAATGGGAAAACAGACGAAAGTAGTAGTAGTAGAGAACAAACTGAGCTGCTATAATGGAACACAATGAAAGCTACACTGACTTGTCAAATGAAAATGCAAAAAATAAACAGATGACCAGGAAGAAACTCAGATAAATAAGTTTTGAACATATTCACTTTTGAGCAGACTATTTACTACAACTACAAGATAATGCTGTAGCAACAGTTAAAGCACTAGAGGGCAAAATACATGTGGATAGTCTGTTTTGATGTCCTCCTCCCACAGCAACCACTGAGGTCAAAACATGGCGCCCACCGCAGCAGACGTGTTTGCTGGTTCCACTTTCGAATGCCAACTTTTTCTTCTTTTTTTGTGTGTTTTTTGTTCTTTCTGCAGTGCACAAATGTCATACAGTTCTAACATACAACAGACAGGCATTGCTGGATATTGCCAACTCGCACAGCCATTTGGAATATGCTCCCGCAGCCATCACCATCCCCAGGAAGGCCCTGAAGCACAAGGGCTCCAGTGAGCAGGCTGAAACCATGTCAGAAGAAAAGCTTCCTCCATCCTCAAGGACCCCACCCACCCCCAGAATGGGCTGTCCACACCTGTACCCTCAGGCTGGAGGTTCAGAAGTGTGAAATGCAGGACTTCTAGCCTGAAAAACTCTTTCTTTCCAACTGCCATTAGACTCCTAAACAGCTGAAGGAGTTTATAAT